GGTGCCCGTGTGAGAATGTCTTGTCTTATTCGGCTCGGTGTTATTTTGTTGTTAGTGCCCCGCAAACTCCGTGGTTTCCCACACCGCACCGTACCGGAAACAGATGAACCACGCGCTGTCGTGTTACTGTACTCGCGAAACCCCCATACAGAGCCGGCTGCATTGCGTCCCCTGTGATGGACTCGTAAAGGGAGTGCCATCTTGGAGGTGTTGACCTCTGACCTCTCGAAAACTAAAAAAACTAAAATAGAAACCTACTAATTAAATGTGTTGGTTATGAAATTAAGTTGAAATAAAGAAGTAACAAGCTAACTCGTAGCCCCACTGCGGTAACATGCGACCTATGTGCAAAAGTCATTTCCGGTCGTTGACTTTTTTCCCACAAGACTCTTTTTTTTAATGACGTAAAAAAAACAAGGCCTAAAGGTAATATCTATCTGCCTTTAAGAAATTCAGCTACGTTCTCAGACTTTAGTTGTCTAGAAGATTTGAACAGATTTGAACATAGTTTTCTGATTTTAAAAAACATTTTCCCATATTCCATTTCGGCACTTAAGCATTTTGGGTCGTCTTGGTTTTGTCAAATTCTGTCTTGTTCAACTCCTGATATGGCTCGAAATATTTTACTTGGCTCTAAGATTCAGCGTGGGATTTCTGAAATGTTTTGTAGCTATAACAAGGCTTTTGATGTAGAAGAGAGCACATTTTAGCGGCCCTTTGTTTAAAAACAAACAAACATACACGTGTTCAAATTCGTTGCCCAAGCGGCCATTTTATTAGCTTTGCGTTCCAAGCGCCCTCTAATTTCGAGCAGCAAACAATGTAGACACTTTCCTTGGTTTTTGTTCAGCCCAGCCAAGTGGGTTTAAACTTAAAAAAAAAAGTTCAACCTTCTTCGTCCACTTGTTACAGTTTCCGAGAGAAAGACGCGGCTTTGGCTTTATGTTTGATCTCAACTCTCGAATAAACGTTCCTACCACATGTAATTGTTCGCAAAAACATTTAAGTCGTTTATTAGGAATGAAAGACCGATAGTAAATTTATGCCCTGACGGGCTAAACACAGGTCATTGTAATAATATCGATGTTCTAAAATTATGATACAAAAAGTGTTGTAAGTCAAGTGTGATTAGTGATTGTTTAGTAACTCGTTGCGGCATTCTAGTCGAAATTTTCCATTTTTCGTCATTGGTTCTGTCCGCCCCCAAGAAGTGTTGTCGATCTCGGAAACAACGTCCGAAGGGAAAAAAAAGAGACAACTATAGTGTTAAATCACCTGGATGGCTAAAATATTAAATTCTTCAAGTGGCGTTCAAGAAACGCTGGCGGTTTATGCGCTAATTTGCAATAATACGGAAGCCAAAATGGCGCTGGTAAAGTCAAAATAACAAAGGGTTACCGATGTTACACTAAATGCCGGAAGAGGAATCAGGGTGAAAACATCGACGCCGGCAATGTTACAAAATAAGACTCGTAATGTAACGTTTATTAGTTTTTATCAATGGTTATATTTTTTAAACAACTAGATACTTTTAATACAGTATTAATCAGCTTTTTGTAAAAACGGGTATAATATATCAATTTCCACGAACTGATCATACCGGGATGCAATATTTGAAATTTTCATAAAAGATTTATGGCGAATAAGAGATCAAGAAAGGCCAACAAAAGGAACAATTGGTAGCAAAATAACATGATTCATCATATCTTGTGTCTCCTTAATTTAATAATTACATTTAGTCACACTTAAAAACTGACATGATTACGAGAAACACGCCGACCTATATGTGGATTTCTGAGCCAACTTGGTGGACACCTTATGTAGTAATACCGATACTCCGTCAACCATCTGCTCTGTCGTCGCTACTGATTTTTCCAAGGCGTTCGACCGAGTGCACCACCACGCAGTCATCTCGAAACAAGGGCCTGAACAAGGGCCTGAGGAGGGAACTGATTCCTTGGATTTGCGATTTCATCTCCAACAGGAAACAGTGTGTGCGTTATCGTGGAGTGCTCTCCAGCTGGGAACAGCCTGTCCTGTGGGGTAGCCAAAGGACGGAACTCTACTCCATCCTATTCTGTTCCTGAATCTTATTGACGATGCAGCAAGCAACACTAACACCCCGACATGGAAGTACGTGGACGACATGAATTTACTGGAGTCTAGATCCCTGTACCAGCCCTCTCCACTCTGCAACATGATCTAGACGAGTTGGATGATTGGTCCAACACTAATCACATGCTGCTGAACAGTCGCAAATGCCTTACCATGCATGTAAACTTCAGCTGAAATCCTCCACCACTTCCCCCACTTCAGATCAGTGAAACACCTTTAGCTGTTGTGCCCTGTTTGAAGGTTCTAGGACTACACATACAAAACGGCCTCCGATGGGACAAACAAGTCAACTCAATGTTAGGGGCAGCATCCAAGAAACTCTACCTCTTGAAACGTCTAAGAAAATTCAGCCTGTCTACAACTGACTTGACAACGCTTTACACTGGCTACGTAAGGCCCATACTGGAGTATGGTGTACCAGCTCACACAATCCCAAGTTGGTAAACTGGAAAGGCTACAGAAACGTGCGTGCCGTATCATCCTCGGGGACTCATACACAACATACTCATGTGCACTTCAACGCCTTGAACTGACTACGTTAGCTGAAAGAACACGGCGGTCGGTTGCTAGGCTAAAAGTCGCATTACTAGGGAGGTATCGGGTTACAGAACGTGTTCGAACGTGGCCGCGCGGGAGTCCCGGGCCGGCCCGGGGGTAACGGGTAAAATTTGAAAATAAACAAAAGTAATTGGAGAGTAAATACTCGTCAAAATAAAATGTAATAAGTGATTTTGTTTACCTCAAATGTTATTCTTGCACTGCCTTTGCTCCACTTTGTGTACATTTGCTTCCAAATGAGATCAATTTCGGATTTCAAAAAGGGTTCACGTGAACCAAACAACTGATTTTAAGAGGCCCCGAAAATTAAAAATAAGGTTAGATTTTTGGATTTTTAGAGATATTACAGTAAATTTAAACTTTCTGTCTTAGGATTTTTTTATTTTTTAACTAAAACTCGACTTACAGTCAAAAGAAGAGCTAAAAACGCAGTGTTTTAACTTTAAATACCGATAATTCATAATCGCGGCCATATTAAAAAAATCCCTAAGACAGAAATCTGCGGAAATCGTTGCTCTTCCAAACAAGACCTCAATGAGGTAATTTGAGCGATTTTTGGGAATGGTTAAAATACCATGTTTGCACGCGTGCTGTGCCACTTGGATATGGGGACCTGGATTTTATAACAGCGTCAACAAGAATTCTGACCTTCAAGGTCACCCACGATGACGGCAGTAGCTTCGTTACATGTTACATATCCACAATAAAATCACGGCATAGATGTAATGTTTTGAAAACGGTTCATATTTGTGGAAAGGTGGATTTTTCCTGTTCCGTGGTTCCCAAGTAAAAAAGGGCTTGAAGTAGCCGGTTGTAGCGGCTTTACTGTAAATGACCGCGGGTAACCCCAGATCGAACGCCCGCTCTATTCGAATGACGTCATATCGAACAAGATTCGCGGGTTCGGGGGATTCGATCTCCATAGTAGCGGATTGGGACTTTTGGGCCCAAATCTGACCATCGTGGAAGAGAGCAGCTATGTCTAAAGTTCGCAAGAACACTGTTCACGCCAGAGTACAGGGAATGGCTACCCCCTACGAGAAGAGAAGTCTCAGGCCGTGCAACCAGAAACTCCCAGAAACTGAACTGCCCACGGGCCAGACCAAACAGTTACAGTAATCCCCCTATCCCATACATGTGTTCATTACAGAACAAATACGGACAATAATCATCCCCAACCGTCCATATATAATGTCTGGCATTTGTAAATTTCGTTTATACTGCTCATCGCGAAATCAAACAACTCTTAACTTGTGTATATTGAATGTATTTACTTTTAACCATGAGAAACTGAATAACTCCAAATATTGCGTGTACATTTTTAAACGTTTTTATGCTGTAACTAAAAGATCTTAGTCTTACGAGTAGTAATATACTTCCTTGCAAACAAGTATTCTTAACCAAAGGATTCAGAATTATGTGCAATATTATATGTCTTTGTGAGCGTTTTTAAACAAATTGTCTGTAAATTGACTGCAATTCAGTGATACTTTCACTGCGATCGCTCAATAAAGATATCTTGAATCTTGAATCTTGAAAACGCGAGTGAGGAGCAACCGCACACAGAAAAACTTGCTCCGCACCATAACCGTCGTCGGACCGGACCGGGCAGTTCATTCTAAATATCCACCCTAGGATCAGTTATTCAAATCATCGAGAGATGTCATCTCGTTCACAGTTAAAAGAAAAATTTCTTGCGTTTAAACTTTAGATTGTGGACTCATCGGTCCTTTTACGGATCGGTAAAACCATCCTGTGTCGTTTCTTAAGATTATTTAGTCGTCGACTCTTTTGTAAATAGCAGAACAAAATAAGGAGATTGTAAAACTCGTCAGGTATTTCACGGATCGGTGGATATAAAAATACCACAGCGTGAGCTAAATGCTGCACCGGTTCTTGAGATTGTACAGTCTTGAATTCTATGGCGGATCGGCATAACTAACGAAGGCTCCACGTGGTATTTCCTGTGTCAGTTCTGGTGATTTTGAGTCGTGAGTTGTTTTTTTTAGGATCGGCGAAACAATATACCAGTACGGTGCCATGCGCCCAATCTTGCGGCCGCAATAAGCTTGTTTGCATGGGACAATGCCCTTAAAACAGATCCCACATTTGCATTTAAATGCCGTCTTAACAAGACTATTGTGAAAAGTAGTTTTAACAAAATGCCTTTTTTTTAATTAAACCGAATCTCGGGGATAGGGGTGTAATTAAACAAAGTCTATAGAGATATAATCGTCATACTGTATCAAATACAGTACGAAAATGATAAAATGCAGTATAGCTAGTAAAAGAGTTAAAAAAGAAAAAAAAGAGATAATTCCACTCACCGCGGTATACGTAGTGCTCAGACGTAGTGTGGTAGATCAGACTTCGGGTAGCTCGTGCTTGTCTGTGGCTCGAAGTGATTCGTGGCTGGACGTGCCACGAAGTTGAAGGTAGGAATGGGCGCACCAGAGGGAACGGGGTCCTTATATAGCACCGGCACCGGAGGCTATTCAATGGTAGTAGAAACTTGGACACGCTTTCCCAAAAAAACAAAAACAGGGTGTTGTTCTTTTAAACAAAGTGGCTTTCACGTAAAATCGTCATGGCGTTCACGAGCAAACTTAGCCGGGGGTGCACTTAATTAAGGTGATCAAAGGAGCCTTATACGAAGGTAGAAAACACCTGTTGAATCGATTATGACACGTACACATACACCCGACAACGTCTTTGTCTTGTTTGCTCAATCCTATTGACCAGAGAAGTTTACCCTTCATGTAAGTGTTTAAACCTCATTTCCTGTAGATGAAAAGTCGATTACTCAAGTACATATGGAGCATTGTACGAAGGTAGAAAACATCTTTTGAACTAAACATAAAACAAATACACCTGACCTTTACTTTGACAAATTCGCACTCTCCTTTTAACCTGTGCAAACGGGCAGGACGGACAGCGGCCAGATAATTGCCAGAATGTAAACACTTGGACCACGTTTTCCTCTCTTTATGCAAACAAAATAAATGTCAATTACCGGTCCTGTTGATATGTATGTAATTAACGTTATATATTGAGGCAATCCACCTAACAACTTGAAAAAGGGCTCTTTGTGTAGAACAGACGCGGCAACACCCTTGTTGTTATAGCTTAGCTCGTGATAAGTTTGCTTACTACTTACACCTAGTGACGACATGTACCCACGGGAAATGTGGGAGTGAACATTCATTCCCTACATAGGCCATTTTCTCGTCATGAGCAGAAGAGACAAGTTTTAAAACTTCATTTAGATAACTTTTTCGTGATCAAATTTTGCTTAGAAAGGCACCTTTTTCTGATAAAAAGACAGAAGAATATAATATTTTAAAATCTGCCCCAAAAGTGTGACCCCTTGCTGTTGATCACTAATAGTTTTTACTGGATGGACTGACCCACTGCGATAGGGGGTAAAATCCTTGTATCATGTCATGCTTTGACTGCAGCTTTTTAAAATACTTGAGTTGACCTGCCTCTTATTGTATTCTAAAGAAACCTGACAATTCAGCTGTGCAGTGAAGGTATAAAGACTTAACATTCGAAAGAAAGAAAGTTAAATGTGTTTAAAACTCCTTATTTTTCATGGTTTTGACTATGACATAGAGTCCATTTTTAAGAGCAAATGTCTGTAAGGGTCAAACAATGGTGGCACCGGTCAAAAAATCGATTTGGCTCATTTTTTGCACAGTGATAGTACTTGGTACATAACCCCTCAAAATAGCTTTCTTTTTGCTCGGAACCCCCCGTTGCCATGGCAACGGGCCAAAGAAGTTTTCAGGCCATTTGTCCAGATTTTGGCATGTACAAAACATGGAAATTGGCTAACTTCAGGGCACTAGAACTGATCAGTGTTTTAGAATAACGACAAGAGCAAATTGTACTGACCAGAGCAATGCCTAAACTTATAAAAATAAAATAGCAGTAAAGTCAATGTTCAGTAAAATCTGAGGTCTCGGGCACTCTGAATACAATACACAGTTTTAAGGGTGTAAAAAAGTTGAAATTTTGCCCAACTTTGAAGCACTGTAAGTCCCAAAGCAAAAGGGGAGGATGTTTTGCTTGAAATTTACACTGCATAATAAACCACTACAGAGGTATCAGATGAATGCTTGCAAAGTTTGGGTTCTTGTTTTGTTGCTACGCACTTGTCTTTTAAAGTGGGTCAGTTTTCATTATTTTGATAATATGTCATTTTGTGCTATCTTTGAACTGTCAAATATTCCAAACCAAAATGGTTCTGTACTTGAAATTCATATGTAATATAGAACAATATATAATCTATAGAATGCTTACTTGCAAAGTTTGGGTTTTTGTTTCGTAGCTACGCACTCGTCCTTTAAAGTAGGTCAGTTTTTATTATTTTGATAATATGTCATTATGTTCTATCTTTGAACTGTCAAATATTCCAAACCAAAATGATTCTGTACTTGAAATTCATATGTTATATAGAACAATATATAATCTATAGAATGCATACTTGCAAAGTTTGGGTTCTTGCTTTGTTGCTACGCACTCGTCCTTTAAAGTGGGTCAGTTTTTATTATTTTGATAATATGTCATTTTGTGCTATTTTTGAACTGTCATAAGTTCCAAACCAAAATGGTTCTGTACTTGAAATTTATATATTATATAGAAAATTATGTAGTCTATGGAATGCATACTTGCAAACTTTGGGTTCTTGTTCTGTTGCTAAGCACTTGTCCTTTAAAGTAGGTCAGTTTTCATTATTTTGATAATATGTCATTTTGTTCTATCTTTGAACTGTCATAAGTACCAAACTAAAATATTTCTGTACTTGAATTTTACATTCAATATAAAATAATGTATAGTTTATGGAATGCATGCTCGTAAAGTTTTGGTTCTTGTTTCGTTACTATGCACTTGTCCTTGAAAGTCGGTTAATTTTCATTATTTTGGTAGTACGTCATTTTGTGCTATCTTTGAACTGTCAAAAGTTCCAAACCAAAATAGCACAGCACTTGAAATATGCGTAAAATATAAAACAATATATCATCAATGAAATGCATGTTTGCAAAGTTTGCTTTCTTTTTTCGTTGCTACGCACTTGTCCCTGAAAGTCGGTCAATTTTCCTTTTTTCATATGTCATTTTGTGCTATCTTTTTACTTTCATAAGTCTTAACATATTTTGGATTTGAAATTTCCACCTAGTATAAACCTATATATTGTCTATGAAATGCTTGTTTGCACAGGTCGAATTACTGTGTTCTAGTACTGTACCTGTCCGTAAAAGTAGGCTATATTCTAAGGGAAAGGTTCTACCTCCAATTTTTCCAGATCTATGCCTTTGGGTTTTTTATGACATAGTTAGTACCGATATTTGCATGATATATTTCTAGCAACGTGGCTGTTATTGAAAGTATGCCATTTTTGCACATTTTCCTTATTCTTGATTTTTATGCTGTCATTGCGCTATTGATGGTGTCAAAGCCAACGGTTTTTGACTAACAGTAATAAGATGTAGACATATCTAGTGTCTATCAAATGAACGTTACAAGTTTCTTTGTCTGTTTGCTTGTCCCTGATAGGAGGTTAACGTTTGGTATAGGCTGTCGGGTGTAAATTTGGGGCTGTCAATTAGCCACCAAATTTGTGAAATAATTACACTATTTGGATAACTCTAAAGTGGACCTATTTGTTTTCTGCCAAATTCAGGATTGCTAATACATGTATTTGGCTCCTTTTGTTTTGTCGGAGTGTTTTTTTCCAAAAGTGGATCACACTTCACGTTCCATGTGTAGCTTTGAGAAATACTAGAATGATCTTCAACTTAGCTATTTATCAGACAGAGACGTTTGTGTCTCAAGTATGTGCTTGAGACAACTCTGAGCTTTTCTTTTCATACTGTATAGTTATCCCTGAAAGCTGGTAGTTAGAAAGGTGGTAAAGTAAGACCAATGTTGTTGACAACAGTGATACAAATGTCACAGCCTTCCTTTTTACAGAATCAATGTAAAATTATGCGCAACAACACTATCACCTAAAGAAAAAACATTTGAGGTTTCTACACACAGTATTACTCATGTCCAATGTCACTCTGAACTTTTACTCTGAACTTCCAAATATTCTACTAGCTTTTCTTACTATCTTAGCATGGTGTATGATGACAGTCTTATACACGTTTTGCGTCCCCATATCATTGACACTTGAAAACTTGACTTGTTTCTACATTTGAAGAATTATCATAAATCCTTGCGCATCTTTCTAATCCCAGAAGTATGTCTATGTGGAAAACATACATTTCAGTCAACTTCTGCCATTTCTGTAGACTGTACTCATTTTGAGCAAGGGCGGGAACTTTTTTAGTAGGTATTCTTTCAGTTTTGCCACAAAGGCCGATTTCCCACGGCGATCACTTATGGAAGACACATCTACATCAAAGTGTTCACAAATTAGTTTTAGCAATAAATTTGGAAATAAAATTTGGGTCAATATTATATCATTTCATGTTTCATGTATTTCAAATGTAGACCAATATTCGTTAGCAACTTATAATCCTTTCACAGCACAAAATGACATATTATGAAAAAAAAAGAAAATTGACCCACTTTTAAGGACATTTGCACAGCAACAAAACAAGAACCCAAACTTTGCAAGCATGCATTTCATTGATAATATATTGTTTTATATTTCACGTAAATTGTAAATACAAAACAATTTTGGTATGGAACTTATGGTAGTCCGAAGATAGTACAAACTGACATATTTTCAAAATAATGAAAATTGACCCACTTTCAGGGACAAGTGCATAGCAACAAAACAAGAACCCAAACTTTACAAGCATGCGTTCCATAAACTATACATTATTTTATATTTTATGTAAAATTCAAGTACAGAAATATTTTAGTTTGGTACATATGACAGTTCAAAGATAGAACACAATGACATATTATCAAAATAATAAAAACTGACCTACTTTAAAGGACAAGTGCGTAGCAACGAAACAAGAACCCAAAGTTTGCAAGTATGCATTCCATAGACTACATATTGTTCTATATTACATATAAATTTCAAGTACAGAACCATTTTGGTTTGGAATATTTGACAGTTCAAAGATATCACAAAATGACATATTATCAAAATAATGAAAACTGACGCACTTTAAAGGACAAGTGCGTAGCAACGAAACAAGAACCCAAACTTTGCAAGCATGCATCTAATACATCTGGAGTGGTTTATTATGCAGTGTAAATTTCAAGCAAAACATCCTCCCCTTTTGGGACTTACAGTGCTTCAAAGTCGGGGAAAATTTCAACTTTTTTACAACCTTAAAACTGTGTATTGTATTCAGAGTGCCCGAGACCTCAGATTTTACTGAACATTGACTTTACTGCTATTTCATACAAGTTTAGGCATTGCTCTGGTCAGTACAATTTGCTCTTGTCGTTATTCTAAAGCACTGATCAGTTATAGTGCCCTAAAGTTAGCCAATTTCTATGTTT